TGCAGCTCGCGCAGCAGCGGCGTTACATGGGAGCGATCACCGCCCGCGCGGCCGCATTCTGGACTAACTGGAGCCTCCGAGTGCTCCTCAAGGGAAGCCCCATGTAGAGAGCATTACAGTAGTCCAGGCGGGAGGTGACAAGAGCATGGGTGACTGTGCGCAAGGCATCCCGGTCCAGAAAAGGCCGCAACTGGTGCACTGAGACTGCCAATTTAGAACTATAATCTAATGTTTCATTTCACTGTTATAGCTTCTGGCCTGGATATTTTTCTCTCTGTTTGGAGTTGGATAGAAGATCAGAAGTATTTACGAAAATTGTTCATTTGGATGACATGGAGTTGTTGAACGCCAAAGATGGTTAGTTTAATTTAAGAATCAATTATGAATATTAAGTATCTAAGGCATGCGTTTTAATTTATTAACACTGAGATAAAACAATTTCATGTAACAAAAACCCCTTCTTTTTGAAATTCTATTTAAGGAGACATTACAACATAAATTTTGCACTCAATGTAATTTTTAAAAATATAGTTCTGCTATAAAGTAATTAAAAAACAATTTGTGGATTTTGAAAACCTATTTTGTTTTGTTTTAGATTTGTTATATCCATATAATTAGAGTAGAGTCAAAGTATTAGGATTTCCTAAACCTGCCCAGAGGCACTTGTTGAAACGAGCAGCTATATAATCAAATCAGATCATCTGTTAGCTCCAGAAGTTGAGTAATGGTAATTGGTGATGATGTCCCTTTCTGCCATTCTTCCCTCCAGGCTCCAGTATTAAAAAAAGTTACATCCAGTATTCTACTTTTACTTAGTCAACATTCATTCCATTCTGTTTGTGATGTAAGTTGAGGAAATGTAAGAATATAGGATTTAATGTATCCTTGGCACTCTAATACAGTGATGGCAAACCTTTTAGAGACTGAGTGCCCAAACTGCAACCCAAAACCCACTTATGCATCGTCGGGTGCCGGGTGGGTGTGGCCCATTGGGTGGGTGTGGCCCATTGGGTGGGTGTGGCTGCGGTGGTAACAGCAGACTGGGTGGGACTAAAAAGTTCAATCAATCAATTCCAACTTTGCAAGATCTTTTTTTTTCCTGTGAGAAGTTGAAATTGATTGATTGAAACTTTTTTTTTGTACACGGCAGTGGAGACCTAAAGCGAAAAGGTTTTATAAAACCCAGCTGAAGGCCTAGGACTGGGGCGATGGCACGCGTGCCCACAGAGAGGGCTCTGAGTGCCGCCTCTGGCACCCGTGCCATAGGTTCGACACCACTGCTCTAATATGACCCCAAATTACTGAGAAAAGCCCAAATGTCTCCAGAATTCTCACTGTAGAGTTCCTTGTTTGCCAGTGGAAAGGATTCTACAGCAGCCAATAGCAGCCACTAGAGGAATAAAAATATTATTCTCTTAATCATACTTCTTTATCTTCCCTTAAAGACACAGGTAGTCCTGAGAAGGTAGTAACAACTATGTTACTAACTTAACTACAGTGATTCACTTAATAACTGTGGCAAGAAAGGTCATAAAATGGGGCAAAACTTATTTAACAACTGTCTCACTTAACAACAGAAATGTTGGGCTCAATTGTGATTGTAAGTCAAGGACTACCTGCATATCTTCTGTGTTAACTTGGAAATTGTGAACAAATTCATTTTAATATCTCCTTTCAATTTTCAACAACTAATTGCAGTCATTATGATTTGAATGTGGCCTTCCTTCCATCAATTCTCTTATATACATGCAAAATGAAATTGAACATATTCTATCTTATTCTATACATTGGATAAGATGTATAGGATAACATATTGCTAGTTTGGCTTTGCATCTTCCACTGATATGTGTTGGTCTTTATAAATTCATTGACTGCTGTCTAGATCAGAATGTAGTGAGAGAAATGTCCCATAATGCGTAAGTGTACTAAGATATTTACTGCATATCAAGTAAAATGAAAGTGATTTGCTTCAAATAACTTTTTCCATAAATCAAATCTGTATTTAGGGACAGTTCCGAAGACAATAGAAGAATGGAAGTTCCTTCTTTGCCTTGTGAAGAGTTATCACAACATCCATGTTTCACAAAAGGACACATCTGTTACTAATGGTACTCCTGAATGGTCAAATTCTGTTACTGTTGAAAATGTTGCACTCCTTGCAGCCAGAATAATTGGTCCAGATTGCTCTTTGCAGCTGTTACAAGAATGTGATCTGGTGGCTGAATTATCAGAAAGATTTGCCAAGATTTGTGAGATACTAAGAATTGCTGAAAAACGGCAAAGGTAAGTGTTTTAAGAATTGTTTCTTATAGACTATCCAGAATACTACAATTTAGAGATGTGAACAGAGTTACAGTGCTTCAAAATCAATTTTCTTGAATACTATGATTTCAGGGTTTTTTCCCCTGACAAATAGAACATCAGCATGAAATAATAATAAAATACAAAAGCAAAACTTGAAAAAACTGCTTGGTTGCATGTCATTAAAGAATTCAAGTCTCTTTACTTTTGTGTCTTTTTTTTCTGTTGTGGAAATTTTATTTCAATTAGAATTTTTCCTACTCTTTTAAATACATTGATCAAAAGAAAGTTTTTCAGGATTTTAGTATAATAAATCTGCCAATCAAAAAAAACTCAACCTTCAACAACTCTGAATAGTTTATAAATTTATGATTTATGTTTTGAGAATATTTGTGGTTCCCCCCAATTTTATGAAAAACATTTGACCAGTTAATATTTAAACAGGTATTGTCACCAGAGTTGTAATAGGT